CCACTGATTTGGATATGGCTAGGGCCTATCCATTTTGGTTTAAGTCCATTGTGCATTGTGTATGCCATGTAGTTCATAGCATTGAGTATGCCATGTTGTCGCATGATTGATCATTGCATTTGTGCATGCCACGTTCATTGCATTGCATATGCTAGTTACTATTTGCATTGTGTATGCTAGTTGTCATGAGCATTGTGTATGCCATGTGATTCATAGCCTTGTGTATGCTAGTATGTTAATTGCATGTTTGTATGCTTATCCCTTGCATGTTTGCATGTCTAAGTCATATTGCATTGAGTTGCATACTTGAGTCGCATTGTGTATGCCATGCTTTCTTTGCATTTGTGTTTGGAATAGGTGTTAGTCCAAACACGGGAAAAGAGGGACGTTTTATACTTGAAGTGATGAAACGTGCCTCAATTCTCGGTCGTCGACACTCTTGACTATACATGATGGAGTTTTAGGCTTTATGTATTCATTTGTGCATTCATTTTCATATCGAATGGTGCACTTGGGCTCCTCGGCCATCATGCATCGAGTTGCATGATTGGTGGCCCGAGGGTCGAGAACTATACTCCCTTGAGCTTATGCAATGATGGGGAGAGTGGTCGTGCACACATTTGTTGCGAATACTTTGCCATCTCTCTCTCTTGCCTTCTGTTGCAGAAAACCAAAAACCAGGGGCAGAAACTGGTCGGCCGACCAGATTTAGTGGCTGGCCGACCACTTTTTTTGGTTTTTCACCACAAAAGTGGTCGGCAGGTGGTCTCCAAGGCCAATAGCTGGTCGGCAGCCTTCCCACAGATTTCCAGGGTGGAGTTTCAGCCCTCTGAAGCTTTGTGCAGTGTTCTGAGGTCAATTGCAAACATAGGCAAGTCGGGGCGTCGTGAGGGATTTCCGAACAAGGCAATTCAAGCGTGCATGCATCCTTTGTCATTCAAAGCAAAGCTGGGGCAACCCATATTCATTTAGTTTGCATGCTCATTTAGATTGCTTACTTAGTTAATGTGGTGTAATAAGTAGTTGTAACTTGTTATTCATTTCATTGTGTAATAACTAGTTTAATTAGATTAGCTTAGATTAGCCAGTTGGTTCTGTATTATTCATTCGGACCCTTCGTCGAGAGGGCAAATTTTGTAATAAGTGTGCGTGTGTGTGATGCATGTCTTCCAACCCCTACTTCTTTCTCCCTTTTATTTACCAGTTTACGATGGTTAGTTTTAAGGCATGTTTTAATTAGCATCCTTGTGTTCGCATGTTTGCATTCATTCATCTGTCTTGCATGCACCGGGCTCGGCGCATCATACTAACTGCATTGTACTTCAATTCTGAGTTGAATACATGTTATCTGTAGCATCTCATATGCCATCTTAGAATAGCCGAGCCTATCTTAGTTGCATTTTGCATGTGTTGAGTGTTTATGCTTTAGCATCCTTGCATGTGTGTGAGTGACTACCATGATAGCATGCTTGCCATGAGGCTAACTGCTTATGTGTTATACCTGCCTGAATGCCTGTGGGTGAAGGTTGGATTATTTAAATTGGAACAATTCATCGATTGCGAGTTTTAAGCCCACTTGAGAGTGGCAAATCACCATGTTTTCTAAGCCCACTTGAGGGTGGAAAAATCCACATTTTAGCCTACTTACGAGTAGCAAACCGCTTTCAAAAACAAACATGAGATGTTTTGTTCCAACTTAGATGATCCAGTCTATACGTGTATGCTGTGCGTATCACGTAGCAATTCTAGGCTAATAAACCGGAATAAGAGCACATATGTTTTCAAAAACAAGATATCATGTTTAGTAGTGGCCGATCTTTGATCGGGCGAGCGGGGGTGCTTATTGCATGACCTTCCCCAATCATACCCAAGTTCCCGAGCCGAGGCAACTTTGGTGATAACGGACACGTGGCCTTAGGCACAAGTCAGGGTTTCCTTAATTCCCCCAAAATAAAATATTTAGGTGGCGACTCTGTATCTGGCAAAGCAGTCCATGTTTGGCACTTCTTTCTAAAAATCAGTTTTTCAAAATGATTTGCCGGATTTGGACTTTTTGGTGATTTATCAATCTCGTATTGCACTTTGCGAGATCAGATTAAGAACCGTGACGTTGAGTTCGAACTGTAGTAAGCCCAATGGACAAAACGGGATTTTCCCGGGACGTTCGGGGACGTCTACAGTATGCCCCATTGCTGGCAACCGAGATGATTCTATACGGCCCCTCCCAGTTTGGGCCAAGCTTGCCCTCTCTAGGATCCTTCTTGTTGCCGACAACTTTCCTCAGGACGAGATCCCTAACTTTGAACTCTCTTGGTTGACCTTCTTGTTGTAAGCCCTAGCAAGCTGCTACTAGTATGCCCCCAGCCGAATTGCTGCTCTCTCCCTTCTTTCTTCCAATAGGTCCAAATCTCAGGCCAGGAATGCATTGGTCTCATTCTCTACTCCATGGGTTCTGATCCCAGGGATGCTGACTTCCAGTGGGATAACTGCTTCAGTGCCATAAGCCATGGCAAAAGGAGACTCCCCAGTTGATCTTCTCAGTGTAGTCTGATATACCCAAAGTACATTGGGCAACTCTTCCACCTACTTCCCTTTCGTTGCTTCCAGCCTTTTCGTGATCCCATCCAAGATAGTCTTATTGGATGCTTCTGTCTGACCATTGCTCTGAAAGAAACTTACAGTGGAGCAGTAGTTCTTGATTTTGTACTTTGCACATAAGCTTTTGATTAACTTACTGTCAAATTGTGTACCATTATCTGCTATTATTGCCCTTGGGATCCCAAACCTAGTGATGTTGTTCTTCAATATGAAGTTCTTCACATCAATATCTAGAATCTTTGCAAGGGGTTCAGCCTCTACCCACTTTGTGAAGTAGACAGTTGCTACCAGTAGAAACTTCCTTTACCCAGTTGCTTGGGGCAGTTGTCCAACAAGATCCATGCCCCATTAGGCAAATGGCCAAAGGCTGGATACTGGGTTCAAATCAGATGCTGGTTGACATATCAAAGGTGTAAACCTTTGACACTTCTCACACTTTCTGACGTAGGCTTTAGCATCTTTCTGCATGTAAGGCCACCAGTACCTCTGAGTGATGGCCCTATGAGCAAGTGATCTGCCCCCAGCATAGCTTCCACAGACTCTTTCATGAATCTCATACAAAAAGTCCTCAACCTGGAAGGGATGTATCTCAATAGGGGTCCAGTGAAGGATATCTTGTAAAGATGGTCGTCTGCTGTTAGGTTGAACCTGACCGACTTTAATCTGGTCTTGTGTGCCTCTTTTCGGTCATTTGTCAACTTGCCATCCCTGAGGAACATCACTATGGCATCTATCTAACTTGGACTCATCTCCACACACATTGCCTCATATTCTGTTATTAGCGGTTTCACGCTTGGTTCTATCAAGTAATCAATCATGATTGTCCTCAGCTCTCCCGACTTTATTGCACTAGCCAGGTTGGCCAAGGCGTCAGCATGACTGTTGTCATCTCGGCTAACTTACTGTAGCCGACAATCTTGGAACGAGGAAAACAATCTAACAACCTCTTTAAAATAGGCTATCATTCGTTCATCTCGGGCTGCATACTTGTCTGTTACCTGATTCACAATAAGTTAGGAGTCACAGAAGACTACCACCTCATCGGCCTCCATTGCTGTTGCCAGCTTCAACCTTACAATCAATGCCTCATACTCTACTTCGTTGTTTGAGGCTTTGAACCCCAAGTGGATAGACTGCTCTAACATTCGCCCATCTAGCGATACTAACACCACTCCTGCCCCAGTTCTTTGACGATTTGAACTTCCATCGACAAACAAGCGGAAGGAGTCACCGATATAGATGTCGCAGAGTTTTGGTTTTTCTTCTTTCTCTGGTTTTGCTTCAGTAGGGTTCCTGGGCCCCAATTGGGTTTCTTCTTACTTTCCTGGGCATCCCAAGCCGCGGCTCACCGGAGTCCGACACGAGATGGCACTAGGGGTGAACTTGGCCACAGAGTCGGCCAGAACCTGGCCCTTAATTACTGTTCTCGGCCTAAACTCCCAGTCATATTGGTCCAACACTACTACCCATCTGGCTACCCTGCCTGTCAGATCTCCTTACTGCAACAGGGACTTCAAAGGATGCTCAATCAATACCACAATCTTGTGGGCTTGGAAGTAGTGATTCAGTTTCTTCGAAGCCATCACCAGGGCTAGTGTCAACTTTTCCAGGGGTAAGTACCTAGTCTCTGCACTTGCTAGGGTTTTACTCACATAGTATAATGCCCTTTGTTCTCCTTTCTCTTCTCTGATTATCACTGCACTTACTGCATGCTCTAAAACCACCAAGTATAGGAACAATTCTTCTCCAGGTATTGGATTTGACAGAACTAGAGTTGTTGTCAAGTGCTTTTTTAAGTCGGCCAAGGCGACTTCGCACTTCTCTGTCCACAAAAAACCTGTGGCCTTCTTTAACAAACTAAAAAATGGTTTACATTTATTAGAACTTCAGTTGATAAACCTGTTCAGGGCTGCGGCCCTTCCAGTTAACATTTGCACTTGTTTTGCGAATGTCAGGCTTTTCAAGTCAATTATGGCCTTGATTTGATCTGGGCTTGCTTCAATACCCCTTCTGGTGACCAAGTATCCCAGAAACTTACCAGACTCGACTCCAAATATGCATTTTGAAGCATTAAGTCGGAGCTAATATATTCTCAAGATATCAAAAATCGTTTTAAGTCGGCCAGATGATTCTCAGGTTCTTTGGTCTTCACGACCATGTCATCAATGTACACTTCTACTGTCTTGCCAATCAGATGTCTAAACATCTTGGTTACTACCCTCTGGTAGGTTACTCCTGCATTTTTCAATCCGAAAGGCATCACTCTGTAGCAGTATAGCCATTTTGGGGTAATAAATGTAGTCTTCTCCTCATCAAGGGGATACATTGCTATCTGGTGGTATCCCCTGTAAGCATCTATGAAGCTCATCCTTCCATGCACTGAAGTGGCATTTATTAACTGATCAATCTTGGGGCAGTGGAAAACTATCCTTGGGGCAAGCCTTATTCAAGCTGGTGAAATCAACACAAACCCTCCACTGGTCGTTCTTCTTTTTCACTACCACAGTGTTGGATAGCCAAATAGGGTAGTTCACCTCACGAATGGCTTTGGCTTCCAACAGTTTGTCCACTTCCTCCTCAACATGCATCAACGTTGGCCTCCTCGCTCGCTGGATGACAGGTTTAGCAGACATGTTTACATTGAACATATGGCATGTGACCTTGGGGTCAATGTCTGGTATCTTATATGGCGTCCAGGCAAATACTTTTATGTTGGCCCGTAAGAAAGCTTCCAACTCCCTTTCCTCATCCTTGGCCAAGCCTGAACCGAGAAGGAAGAAACATTCTTCATCCCCTTCTTGGACCAAAATTTTCTTCAAGGCTTCCTCACTCTTCTCAACTGACTTTTTGCTGGCATCATCTATAACTTCCATGCCCTCGTCTTCAATTTCTACTGTTTCTGTCTCTCGTACATTGTAGGTGAATTTCATTGCTGCCATGGAACAATTTTTTGTCTGCATTTGATCCTCTCTAACCTCTTCAATTCCATGCTCCGTTAGGAACCGCAACAGCTGGTGCAGTGTTGAGGGAACAGCCCTTATTGCGTGTAACCATGGCCTTCCCAAGATAACATTGTAAGGGAAGGGGGTGTTAATTACTGTAAACTCTGTGCTTACTTTCCCGGTACCCACTTGCACCTTCAAATTTATTGCCCCAGAGCCCATGTCGGCGTTCCATTGAACCCGACCATTGGGCTATTGGACTGCTCCAAATCATCGCAATAAAGGCCAAGCTCCGTGTAACACCTGACATACATGATGTCACAAGAGCTGCCTTGGTTAATCAGAATGCGCCTTACTTGGTATTCTCCAACCTTGAGGGTTACGACCAGAGCATCGTTGTATGAATATTGTACCATGTCTAGGTCTGCCTCAGTAAAGGACACCATCGGTCCTTGGTACTCGTTTGTCCTAGGCCTCTTTTGCTGGACCTGACACACATGCTGTAAGTGTTTTACCTTCTGGGTCTCTCCTCGTATATCATTCTCATTAACCTTCTAATGGATCACATTGATCACCCGAGGTTCTGCTTGCTGTGGTTGTGGCGGAGGTGGTGCTGCCGTTGCCTGGGGCAGTCTCGCCTACTCTTCCCTCGTTCTAGCCTCATCTACTAGGTCTCTCAAGTGACCCTGTCTAACCAGATCTTCCAAATGAGTCTTTAGGGCTCTGCACCCCTAAGTCAGGTACCTATAGACACCCCATTTTTGACCGTCCTCAAGACTTGGATGTTCTTGTAGGTACATCCAGTGACAGATCAGATTACTCGTCGAGCGCTCGAACTTCACGGCGGAACGCCCCTAGGTTTGATCTTTCCAAACCCTGCATCAGTTCTACCTCATTTTTGGACCATGTCTTGGTCTCTTTGGCATGTTGCTTTTGGAGCACTACCGTCCATGGTAGGGCACTGTCGGCCGTGGACTTTGGCCTGCCGGCCATTGATAGGCCTTATCGGCCATCAATGAGGCCCTGCTAGCCACCACTAATGGCCGGCCGACCAGCAGTGCATCTGTAGATATTTTGTAGATATTTTTGATAGTTGTTTGCACAGAATGGCCCATCTGCTTGCACGTGTATGGTTGGATCTTTACAAGAGGCCTTTGTGTCTTCTATATATAGGGGTCATCTTCTTGCATGCAAAGGGTTACAAAATTTTGGTGAGCAAAATTTCTCCCTCTCTCTCTCTCTAGAATCCTCTCTCTCTATATTTTGTGCTTGAAAGTGAGTTTTCTCTACAGATTTGCCCTAGCACCCTTAGCCAAACACCTCCACCTTGGAGCTGAGATTCTTTAAGGTCTTGTTTGAGCTTCTAAGAGTGGTTTGAGCTCAGAAATTGTGTTGTTTGTTACTGTGCTTCAAGGGTATTAAGCTTACCTCTTTAAAGCTTTATTTTAGTTACTTGTTTGGCCACATTTGCATGCTAGTTTTAGGCTGGTTTTAACTTCCAAATATCTCTGTTTTTATGAGTTAAAAATGGTGGTTTGAGGTTCCTTCGAAGTTAGGGGTAGTCTACCCTCTTTTGTGGCTTATTTGTTAAGTGTTGTGCCATCTTTTTCAAAGCTTTTAAGTTAACCTTCTTGGCCTTTTAGCCATTCCAAGGGAATTTCAGTGGTAAAACCTTGGTTTTGAGGTCCAAAATAGGAAGGGGTGGCCTCCCCTCCTTGTATATTGTTTGCATGTGTAGATGGCCTAATATTTGAGCATGCTTTTCTACCTTTTTGTAGCTTAGTTCAAGCATGTTTTTGGCTTTGTTTTGACATGCTTCAACTCTGTTTTTGGTTGGTTGGGACACTTCTTGCTTGCTTTTTGTACTTGTAGTGCAATCATGCTTACTAGCTTAGCACACTTGATGATTTAGCCTATCATTCTTGCTTGTGTTAGTTTGATTCTAGCATGTTTTGGCTACTGATTTGGCCTACTTTAGCTCTGTTTTGAGTGGTCTTGGTCATATAGGCCTTGCCATGTATGGTTGTAGTGTAAATGGCTTCACTAGCTTTATTATTTAAGGCCTCTAACATGTTGTGCATGTGTTGATTGCATGTTTTGGCATCATTTAGCATGTGATTTCAGTGCATATAGCTTAGTCACACTCTCACATATTTCACTCTTTCATTGCTTTTGAAAGTTGTGCTTTGAGCCTTGTTTAAGAGCCAATACATGAGCATGTTTTTCTTACTTTTCATGCTACCATCTCAGCTCATTTTAGCCACTATTTTGGCCTGTTTGAGCTCTGTCCAGAGCTGATTTGGTCATTTGTGCTTGATATTGCATGCCTCTAGAGTAATGCTCTTCACTAGCTTTAATGCTTTTGGCTCTTAACATGTTGTACATGAGTTGTTTGCATGTTATAGTCTTACTTTTCATGCCATTTCAACATTGAAATTCTGCAACCTCCCTCATTTCTTCATTTTTCCATTTGTTTTGGGGGTTGGTTAACCTTGAGGTTGTGTTTAAGCTTGATAGAGCTTATGCTCAATGGCTTTAACTCTCTTATGAGGGTTCCTCCTAGCCAAAGGCATGATCTCTTTCATGTCTTAAACCATTCTTTGGTTGACCCCTCTCTCATTAGAAGACTTTCATATTGGACAAATCAACTAAAGAATGGCTTGGTAATGCTAAAATGTGTAAACAAAATCAACCAAGTAAAACATGGCCAAGATAAGCATGTTGTTTGCATTGCATTGTGTTCAATCGAACGTTATATTGAACACAAGGTAGATTGGTCCATTTCATACTCAAAGTGATGAAAATGAACCAATCCCCTTTGTCTCCATTGCCTTTGATCATCCATGATAAGGTAGTGGTTTAGAGTCTTGTTTTTGTGCATTAATTGAAAGTGTACAACTTGGATCTTTGGCCATCATGCATTGAGAATGCTTGATTGGTGGTTTTGGATCCAAGAAATACCACTCCTTTGATGTTTTGAAATGATAAGGAGAGGGTACAGTACAAACATACCCTTGGAAACCCTCCATTTTCCTCTGTCTGTGCTCTGTTGCAGTGTGGCAAGTCAGCACACCAGTGGCCGGCAGTGCCTCATCAGTGGCCGGCAGTGCTTCATTCTTGGTCGGCAGTGCTTCTCATGGCCGGCAAGCCACTGGTGCATTCCTCAGAATTGGTTTGGTAAGGTGGAGCAGATAGTTCTTGGAGAAACCCTACAAACAGAGCCTCTCAAGAGCAAACCGGAAGGCTTTTCGGGGCGAGAAACCGAATGCATGCATGTTCAACTTTCTGAAGCAGAACTGAAGTAGTGTAATTTAATGTTTTACTTGTTAGTTAGCATTGGTTTTGTAATTTGATTAATTAGTTTGCTAATTGATTAAGTGTTGTAATAATTAAGTAGCTTAGTTTAGCTATTTCTTTATGTTGTGTTGTAATAATTAGTAAGTAGTTTTCTAGTTATTCAATTGGTTTGTAATAATTAGTCTAATTAGTTTAATTAGATTAGTTAGTTAGCTTATCTTAGAGTAGCTTAGCTTATTTATTCGGACCCTCCTTCGCGAGGGCATAATGTTGTAATAAGTGTGCGTATGTGTGTGCATGTCTTCCAACCCCACGTCTTTCTCCTTTTTACTTAACCGTTTTCCATGGTTAGTTTAGGGGCACGTTTTGATTAGCATACCTTATGCTTTGCATGTTTGAATCATTCATTTGTCTTACATGCACCAAGCTCAGCGTATCATACAAACTACATTGTATTTCAATACTTATTTGAATACATATTATCAAATTGTTGCATTCATATACCATCTTAGATAGCCGAGCCTATTTAGTTGCATATTGCATGTCTTGCATTAGGCATTTGCATAGTTAGGATCATGCATATTTCTAACTAGCTTTTGTTTTTTGGCTTGGAGTACACTATAAGTTTTACGCTTTAGCATACTTGCATGAGTGTGACTGTTGCCATGATAGCATGCTTGCCATGAGGCTATTTGCTTAATTTCTAAACTGCATGAATGCCTGTGGGTGAAGGCTTCATTACTTGAATTGGGACAATTCATCAAATGTGAGTTTTAAGCCCACTTTGCGAAGTGGCAAATCATCATGTTTTAAGCCCACTTGAGGGTGGCAAATCCGTGCTTTAGCCCACTTGCGAGTGGTAGTTTCAAACCATTTTCGAAAACAAACATGAGTTGTTTTGTTCAAATTCTTGCGATTTAGTCTATACTTGTATGTGTGCGTCACATAGTAAAGTTCGCTAATAACTGGATAAGAATACATGTGTTTATAAAAAAACATATCATGTTAGTAGAGGCCGATCTTTGATCGGGCGAGCAGGGGTGCTCATTTCAGGACCTTCCCTTCTTGTACCCAAGTTCCCGAGCCAAGGCAACTTTGGTGATGACGGACACGTGGCCTTTGGCACGAGTCAGGGTTTCCTAAATTTCCAAAAACAAAACATTTAGGCGGCGACTCTGTAATCTGGCAAAGTAGTCTAGTTTTGGCATTATTTGATTTAAAATCTGATTTCCAAAATGATTTGCCGGATTGGACTCTTTGGTGTTTATTAATCTCACATTGCACTTTGTGAGATTAGATTCATAACCATGACAGGAGTCCGAACTGTAAGAGACCAATTCGCGCCTCTCCGAAAGGGGGGCGTGCGAAGAAAGTCGAGTCTACAGTTTCTAGCGACTTTGTTGGGGATTTCGAGAACTTGACTCAAACTCATGATATGTTGTTTTATTTACACTTATGTGTTTCTTTGCATTGCATTTGTATCGGTGCGCTTAAGTCACAGTGTTTGCCATCTACTATTCCTGAACGGTTTGCCAGAGGCTTGCTTGGAAAAACATGCCATAAGGCTGACTGGTTGCGAGCTCTGCCATGATGGGAACACAAACCTTGGATTTGGATCACCGTTGTACCGTTTGATCCTCCTTTCACTTCTCGATGTTAGGAGCGAGAGGTATATTAGGTGGTCTTGCTTAGGCACCCTTTTCGACCATTTGACTTAATTGCATATCGGAAGCCATAGAGACTGTTTCAAACTAGGACAGGTTGCTCACCCGAATGTAGAATTATTTGAAACCGCATGCGTGCGTAGTGAATCCCTAGTTCCTGACGAAACTAGGACAGGGAAACCCTACCCCACCACAGGGGTGTTTTGGCTCTCACTTGCTTGCTATGTGCTGTTAGAGTGTGTCTTTACAGGAATACATGTA